CGCCTCAGGGCCGCCGGGGACGCGGCGCCGCGGCAGCGCGCGGGCGCTGCTCCACAGAGCTGCGCGGTGCCCTGTCCCCGCTCACTGCGGCGCACGGGAGATCGTTTTCACCCTCTGACACCTTTGTTTTTTGCCTGTGTGCTCAGTGCCCCGGCACCTCTCTCCAAGTTCTTGCACTCCTGCACCGCCTGTTGCTCGTTCGTAGCGTGGTTAGGACCACCCTTCTTGCACACAGGTGTCTCATCTCTCATGCACGGACAAAGCAGCAGATGAAGGTAACGAGTGGTGATGTCCCATCAACAAACCCTTATTAACACATGCTGACTTACCAGACGAGCACCACATGAAACACCCCACCTAGGAGACTAGCTCCATGTAAATGTGCATCTGCCCCAGGGACCTAGCAGTTGATTCCCAGAAACCTCCAAATCAGAGCTCCCCAAAGCAGGCAGACTTTGCAAGCCCCGGGTCAGGCTCCCACAGGAGCCGGGGCCAGGGCGGGTGCATTGCAGCACTTGTGAGTGTGGAAAAGGAAGCTGCCATTATACCTGGACCTTTGCAAAACATGCAAGTCATCTCTGTTCTCAGAGGAGAAAAAAACCAGCTGGGACAAAAGGGCTTTTGTGCTTTACGGCAGCCTGGGGGCACGAGGAGGCTGGGATACTCACAGGCCACCAAACCATCTCTCCTCCGGCCAGGAAGTAGCCTTTCACCGTGCTGCGCTGGGTCTTCCACATGGACTGCGAAAGCAGAAACAGGACTGGGGCTCCAGCAGCCCCTGCAAGCTGCCGAGATCATCCCCAAGCATGCAGCGTTCCCCGGGAAGCCCTGCACTGTCATCCACACAAAGGGAGTCGATTTTTTAGGCTGAAGAATCTGCAGTTGCTGCTTAGAAATTCTGTAGGGCAAAATTCTGCAGCGAGGTGAGTTGGGAAAGCGGGGAACAGCCGGATCCATGAGCCAGGCAGATTTTTCTGTCATATCAAGTGTCCTCATTAAATGTTTGCTGCAGTAAGGAAACAGTATTACTCCAGACCCATGAGGAATCCGAGCTGATTTTGGACAAGAACTATGGACATCGCTAATTATCAGGAGCAGCCAGCAGAAATGCTAGATATTGCACATACTACTCGTGAACTCTTGTTTTCAAGAGTACCCTTCAGATACCTCCATACAACACCCCCCTTTTGAAGGGAGCAGCTACTCATCTCTGCCTTATGACAGTGGCTTTTCCTCTGGTTATTACCAAAGCCACGACAGAAGGATGGCTTTCAGGCTTAATTATGGATGGAAAGTACTTGTAGTTTATGGAATTTGCTCTCGGGATGTCACTGTGGACAAACAGGTGATTTATAGGCCAGCATTTGTATTGGGTTTCTTCCTAGCTGAACAGAGCATCGTTAGTGGTAATACTTGGTATTTGCACAGGGACTTGTGCACAAGTATTCTCAAACCTTTGCCAGCGCTAGGCTGAACAGCCTGGAGCGGGGAGGACCCTTCTCCAGCCTGAAGTGAGGAGGGGACCCGTTCGCTGGTGTTTTCAGCCAAGTGTGGCCTGCTTCAAGCCAAAATGACCTGAGAGCTAAACTGCCACGTTTTCAGCATGACAGGCACATATGAAAGCGTTGGGTGGTGTGTGCTTACCCACAGCCCAACAGCCAGGACAAACACGAAGTACAGCACGAGAACAACGATGTCCACAGAGTCCAAGGTCTTCTGGGGAAACACATCCCAGCGGGGAGTCACCGATGCCGGAGGGATGCTCGTGCTCTCCATGATTTCTTATGCAGCCCGGGCGCTTTATTTCCCTTGATGCATCCGCCTGTTAAAAAATGGTTATGAGAGGATGGACTGCGGTGGCAGCACAGAGGTATTGACCGTTTCTTGGATAATTCAGCAATTTTCAGCACTGGTTTTGGGTGCGGTGCTGCTCTTGCGGGCGCTGTGGCGAGGGCTCCTGTCCAGCATTTGTTTCCATTCGTGGGTCCTTTCCACTGGGCTGCGAGGGCGGCTGTCAGTGGCCATGGTAGCCGTGGGCGACTCAAATTGCTTCTGACGTGGATAACTTGCCAGCTGGCAGAGCAGCGGGTGCAGCAGGGAGAAGGGGGAAAAGGCTGAAACAGCCCCAGGGGCGGCAAGCGGAGGGGTCCTGCTCCTGCGCTCGTGGTGCAGAGCCAGCGCCCTCCGACGAGGGCTGCTCTGCGGGGATGGGGGCAGCCACCCGGGCACTGCCCGCGGTGACAACAACCCGCTGCAGAAGCACCCGGGGAGGGCGGCCGAGAGGGACGCACGTGTGACCTGCTCCGGGAGTGCTGCAGATTGCTTTAACAACAGCGAGAGCCGGGCCTGGGTCGGGGGGTTTGCATTTCCCCTGGAGTCAGCGTGGGGCCGGACGCGGCAGCAGGGCAGGGTAAAACCTGGGCAGGCTGCTCCGTACCTGGACTGACCCTTTCTCTGCTTTTTTCCCCTTTCCCTTCCTTGTCCAGGCTCCGCTTTGCTCTGAAAGCGCAATGTGCTGCGTGGCGGTAGCGGGGAGCGCCGAGGCAGGGGTGGTTTAGCCTGGGCGAGCAGTGACCCGAGCAGAGAGCCCCAGGGCTGATGGTGCCTTTGAGGGTCACTCGGGGACCCTGCGCTGCAGCTCCTCGCTGCCCCGCTTTCCAGCCAAACACCAAAAGGACATAAAACGCTCTTTCTCTTACCCTGCAAGCCCGGGAGGCCGTTCCCTTGGACAGGGCAGGACTCCCACTCCCGAGGCTCAGGGCCGCCCCGCGGCCGGCTCAGACCCGGGCTCTGCGGCCAGGCCCGGGGCAGCCAGGCCCAGCGCTGCCCCCCGCGCTCCCCGTCCTGCGTGTGCACCGGGAGCTCCGCTGGCCTCTCCTGCCCTCGCAGGGTCACGCTCGCAAGCTCCCTCCCTCAAAAGGTCGGGAGGCTCCAAATGAAGGTGGAGTGAGAGGATCCGGGCAGCGAGGCTCCGGGGAGGAGCAGCCGGACGGGTTCTCCCCGGAGCGTTAGCACAGCCTGAAACACCCGCCGGGGTTTTGGTCGTGTATTTCACAATCTCCACTGGCTTCCTCCATTTGGTAATATATTAAATTACAGCTTTGACCAGCACCTGAAAGCTGCCATTAACTTACCTGTTGCGTAAAGAATTGCCTGAAGAGCAGCTAATTGTATTTGTACACCAGTGGCGTTGCCGTGTATTTAATGCCTAGATTTGTGGAAAACAAGTGAATTGATCCATAAACACTTGCCCAATATCTTTGCATGTTGAGGCAAGGTTGCAAATGCTCTGGAGATGGAAATGCAGATTTTCCTTCTGCTGGACAGTGTACACAAGTGCCCGTTGCAGCCTGCATCCCTCTTGAACACACCCTTAAAGCATATTCTCTGCCTGGGACTGGAATCGGGCTCGTGCGTTTGCAAGAAGCCTGGGCAATAAGTGGTTTTACAGCCCCGTTAGGGGTTTTCCAGTCCCATACAGCCCCGTTTTAGGTGTTTTCCACCACTGGCAGGTTGTGTTTGGAGCTGGGAGCCACATACAGCACAAATGCCAAAGCCGACAGAGCCACACGCGCGGTGACGGGCCGTGGCAGCACACTGGGGCCTCGGGCTGCACCCGACAGAACCTCCTCTCTGCTTGCCAAAGCCCCAGGATCCCACTTGCCTTTAATTCCCTGGGAACTTTTGTCTTGCAAGGTGCAAGATACAATCAGTATCAGCAGCATCTTACCTCTTTAAGAGGCAAAATAGCTTGGCTCTCACTGTGTTTCCACTGGCATGCCTAACCTCTGACTGGGAAAACAAAAGCGTGGTTTGCTCCGGCAGCCTGGGGAAGCTGCTAACCCCTTGTAGCAGCTCCCTGCTATTGCCGTGTCGGTGCTTCCCATGCGAGCGCTCCCGCGTAACCTGTTGAAGCCAGCCCTTTATCACTGCTCCCGGGAGAGCCGCGGCCCACGTGGGTATCCGGGATCCCAGCGGATCTCTATCACTCTGCCTCTTAAACAAGATTTTTAAAACATTCCCCATTCCTTTCACTTTCTAACACGGCCACCCGTTGTCAGGGATCAAACCCAACCTAGAAGCAGAAGCAAACCCCAAAATGAAGCAAGACCTCCCCAGATACGAGGTAGAAGCTGAAAGGAAACTTACTGCGTTCAGCTGGGTCTCATTCTGTTCACTTGCACTAGGCACCACCAAGCTTCTGCCAACTGACAGGCAGCTTAAATATTGCCAGAGAATCAGGATTTGCCAGCGGAGCTGTTAACAGTGTCACAAGGAATGAGGAGGAATATTTATAGTCAAAGTTAAACTAATTGCCCGAAGTTACTCTTTCATTCCCCTGCTCCTCTGTGAGAAGTGTATTATTTTCACTATCAGGGCTCATGGGTCAAATTCCAGAGTGCCATTCCCTTAAGCAATCTGTGCAGCTAGAGAAGGGACAAATAACAATAAAAAAGTTGGTCCTGGTGTCCCCTTAGGTGACATCACAAGACGGAGCAGGGAGCTGACAGCTCGTCCTATGTCTCAGTTTATGACTAAGCTTCCAGAGACTAAGGTTCAGCGTTGAGTGGGGCTCGTCCCTTGTTTCCCAGTCTGCATTTTAGTTCTAGCACTGGGTGCCCTTCTGAGAGCAGGTTGGAGCTTCTGGCTTTGGCATCATCTGTCTAAAAAGCATAACCATTTAGGTCCAGGTGACGTGCAGGGAATAACGCTGAAGAGGAGCCTTTCCGGAGGCAGGAGGATGGAGGAGGCAGTTCCTACCCCCCGACACCAGTGCCCAGCCAGCGGGAGGCTCTTTGGACACGGGCACCGCTCCATTTACAGCCTCATCCCTCTTCTGGTGGTGGAGATACACACCAGGATTCCAGAGTATGTAATTCCCGACGTTGCTGGTGACTCCTGCGTGGGACAGGAGCAGAGCCCACGCGCAGCCCTCGCCTTTCCTCGTGGATAGGAGCTTCAAGGTTCTCATTGCCGGGGTCTGTCTCTCACTTGCTTACGAGCCATTTAATGTTGCCACCAACTGCACAGATTTTTCCCAAATTTTTCAGTTCTCTTAAAATCCCAGCAACGAGAATCAGAAATTTGTTTTTTTACCAGGACTTATTAATTTTCTGGGTTGACAACACAAGCAAATTAAATATGTAAAAAAAAAAATTCAGCCTACAACCTAAGAAACCAGAACACAAAGTAGGGAAAACCTGTAAGATTTATGTTTTAATCTTAGTGTTTCACACTCAGCTCACAACTTAGATGGCTAAAGCTCTTTGAATCCTGTGATTGGAGATGCTTTAATTTGCTCTGCTGGAATTTGGAAACTCCGTTCTTTTTTTCTAAAAAGCTGATAGAATAATGCAGAACATTCAGCACGCAGACGCCTTGTGCTCCCTCCCAGCACTGCAGCCTTTCCCTTCCAGCCGCTCCAGTGTGAAGGTCAGGCTTCTATTTGCCTCCTCGTTGTCTTTCCTGGCTCCTGGAAAACAAACACAGATCGTGGCCCTTCAGCCCTGTTTCAGGACACACAGCGGGCAGCTCCATAGGTGTCAGCCTGGTGTTTTATCATAACCAGCACTTGGAGCTGTGATCATGTCTTCACTGTGACCTCACTACAGCTCATTTTCTTCTGGGGATTTTCCGTTTCTTGCAGGAAAGATTGAAAATCCTTCCCTCTTCCCAAGTGTTAAACACAGCCTTAGCTGCTCATGGTCCTGATTTTGCTGACACTTTGAGAGGACGGCACTAACGTCTCCGCCGAGGAGGAGCAGGTCCCGGTTGTGTTCCCAGCGCTGGCATGGGCTCTCTCATGGGTTGCTATTTCCTTTTCAAGGAAACACTTTCCCGTGAACACGTGGATGACCACGGCTGAAGTGTAAACTCCGTTAAGGATGGGCTTCCGAGGCTACAAGGAGCCGTCCCAGCCAGTCCAGTGGTTTTCTGGGGAAAACGCACTGGACGGTTGGAGTTAACTGGGAAGGAGAACCAACAAGTGTGTGACGGATTCTGCTGACGGACGCGATGTGCAGAGGTGCGGAGGAGGCGCCGGGTCAGCCCCGCTCGGGGCGTTCCGGCCTCGCTGCAGCTGCAGCGGGAGCTCTCCCAGCTGCTCCGCCGGCTGCATCGGCCTGGAGGCTGGAGCACGGGAGCAGGAGCGGGAAACGGACGGGATGAGGGTGCTCCTGTCCACAGCGCCGCTCCAGGCGCTTCCCCAGGGCGCTCCAGGGAGAACTCCTGCTTGAGCCGTAAACAGGCTAAACTACAACCAGGAAACGTGGTGCACGACGCGTCCCTACCTACCCACCGCCAGCGCAAAGGGAGATAAATCGCTCCAGGGACATAAATGCTCCAGGGACATAAACTCGACTGCAGCCAAGAATTCCATTTCAGAAGGAAACAATTCCCTGGCTCATGCATGCACGCTCACTAAATATTTTCTTCCGAAGGCTGCAGAAAAAGTCCATACTATTTTAAAAATTTGCTTCTAAAATTCATCGTGCCAGCCTGAATGCTGCCTCACAGGCAACATTTTTCAGAGTTATGCAGTTATTTTCCCCATACCACCCAAATTAAGCAAGGTCAGATTCTGCATCTATTCTTTAGAGACGTAAGGAACCAAAATTAAAACCCACAGTCACAGAAGCACCAAATGCTGAATTCCTCACACCTCCCTTCTCCAGCTGTGCACAGAGGGTTCGCAACATAACAGAGATTTACACGCAGTCAGGAGGCAGAAGGCAGTAGCTTTATTTTGGGAACAGCACATAGGCATTGGGTAGAGGCTGAATTGTGGCTATACATAGTCCCATTATCAAATAATATAACCATATCTCATAAGTCCTGGATCTTTGAAAATATTCACATAAAAGTACCAAAGGGATTGGACTTCTAACTATTTTGGAAAGTTACCACATGTAGCAAAATCTATATACAGCATTTTCACATTTTTAATGACAGTTTCAAAATAGCCTCCAGAGGTTCCAATATTTATTTTTAGAAAAAAAATGAATGCAGTGTAAAACACCCAAAACAGAACCCGGGGATGAGTATTCACTCTCCTGTCACCACCATCAGTGGAGAGAAAAGACAGAGACGGGCAGGGCTGGGTCTCCGATAACACAATGCTATGAACTACCTGGCACTTAAAAAAGCTCTATTCACTGGGAACACTTGTGGAAATACACTGCACTTTCTACAGCAGGGTTTAAAAAAGATACCGAAACCCAAAGATCTGAGGGTCATAAGATCTCTCAGAGCCCTCCCCGCAACACTTGGACTACCCCTGGATCTGTACTTCCCAAGAAGGTCCCTAATTCCTCAGGGATTTATGGCTCCTGGCACAATGATATTCAATTCTCAGTAAGATTTCAATAGCTGTCAGTCATTGCCACATCTAAAAGCAAAGCTGATGGCCAGGAAGGATGTGGGGAATATTTTGTTCTCTAAAGCAACTCTGTAGATTGAACTGGATCCGTACGTGCGAACATGCCGATGTGCCATAAAGGTGTCTGGAAGGTTGTTTTTCTTCCCAGCATCACCGGCCGGCTCTGGCAGCGGATTCAGAGCTCTGGGCTGGCCGCTGAGGTCAGTGTGAACCTCCAGCCCCGCGTTACCCTGCCCACGTGCCGAGACGGCTCCGGAGCAGGAGCTGCCTGCAGGAAAACGGGGAGAGCTCTGCACGGAAGGGCAGGCTCCATGCAGAGCCGCGCAGGGCTGTGGGGGTACAGAACGGTCTGCAGGGGCTGCTGGTGCCAGTTAGGGGTGTTCTGGAAATGCGGGAGGTCGGGGTTTTGTGCGGCTGTGTCTGCAATCCGTGATGCAGGAGGGTGCTGGGGATGCAGGATGGCATCGAGACCCCTGCAGCGCTTCGTCCCCTCGTCCCGGCGACAGCCGTGGCCCGGCCGCGGCGCCGCTGCCCCTTCCCCTCGGTCCGCGGCTCTGCTTGGTGCTAGCGGGCGACAGCAGCGTATGTACAACCGGAGTCAACAGGAGCAAATTGCACTTGGTTGGCAATAAGTGGCGGCACCTCCCGCGGCCCCGGCGCCCGCCACACGCGCCGGGGGGAGGCCACCC